TTATGTCAGTGAGGTAGTAGTAATCCCGATATATGAGTCATGTTGACGTGCACAGCCGTCAAAGGGGCAATTAAATTCATATATTACGGGATTACGCTTTAACTCAGAGTTATCTCTAGGACTGCAGTTGTTTTTCAGATGCATAAACAGAGTGGTGCTATCAAATCTCATTTGGACTCAACACACTCAATCACAATTAGCCGTGAAATCCTCGACAGCAACACCAAAGTAATATACCAGAACAGCAACTACACGCATCTTAAAATTGCAGAAGCAGTTCTAATTGACATCAATAAACCAAAAATAAATATACAACAAAAAATGACAACCTCACTTCCAACCCGGCGCTTAACCAACAACGAAAACAAAGAAGTAATAAAAACTAGCATCGTAAATAGTGACAAAGAAGAATATGATGCTATCGATGAAGAAAAGGAGACCAAAGAAGATGACCAGCCAATAAAGAAACCTGACACCTAAGTCGCATCAAAGTTCAATTTTACAACACCAAAGTTAATTTCTACAACGTCAAAGTTCATCTTGACAAAGTCAATATTTCCCTATATATACAGCAAGGAGCACTGACGATGATTCATTCGGAATCGAAATATGACCTTATTTGCAGCATGAATTCGAAAAATAAGTTTATTTTGAATTTTAATAAACTAAACGATCACCAAAAAACTTAAGTGAGAAAAATCGAAAAAACGAACTACAAACATATTAACGCCAAACATTCGGTAGAATTTATAGAATATTGTATATATTATATTATATACATATATATACATTTATTTATTTATGTTTATATAATATATAATTAACATAAAAATAATGTAAAAAAAGTTCAATCGTTAAAAAGTTTAAAAAAAGTTGTTCAAAAAAAATGATATAACTTGCAATTATTATTATTAATTTGCTTTGGAATGATTTGAAGGTAGAACATTGGAATGGTAATAATGGAACTCAAGTATTATTATATATAAGTGAATGAATGAATGAACGAACGAACGGACAAACGAACGAATGAATGAATGAATTATCTTGATACATGATTAGATACGCTCATTAAATTGCAGCGTAAGATTTGT